TTTTTTTAAATTATTTTGAAACCTATTCGAGGCGAGAGGTAACTTTTGAGAGGTGCCGTTGATCTTGATAATTAACAATTCACGAGTGAAATAATATTTTTCGTCTTTGTTTCTCACGAGGCTCGCGTAAAATGTTCAAAGAAATTTCTACGTTGTGAAAGGATCTTTACTCTCTACGATCTTTTTGCAGGTGGTAATCGCGATGCGAGACTTGTTTCAAGTGGTGTTCGAGTTGAAAAAGAAGGAGATCGAGCTAACGAAGCAGCACTTAGAGCAAAATGCCATGAACGTTATTAAATTTCATACCACTGGCATCTTTGTCGAGCCTACCCCCGATACTAAAGTAATTGTCATTTTCTTTTCCATGATCCTTATTGTCTTTTTTCGATAACAATAAATTGTTAGCTTTTAATATTCAACAGCCTGATATTCTATGCGCTGGATACGCAGCAACGACGTGCAAAAATTTTGGGACAAATGAATTTTTGACTTGATATGTTAGTAAAGGAGCAAAATAGAATAAACACTGCTACATAATTATACCAACGTTTAAGTCACAGCAGAATCCTTTGAAATATTATTTTCGGGAAATTCATTTGACCAGAAATTTCTACACTCCGTCGTGTACCGTCGTGAAGACTATGAGATTTCCAACTTAACGGAACATTGTAAAAATCGTTTCGCAACAGGGCGCAGCGGGATCAGAATCGTCCCTTCATCGGGTAAGAAATACCAATTCGGAGGTGGACAAGTCGGCTGACAAACGAAACGAGCCTCAAAGTGGCGTGATAAGAGACTTGTTAGATATACAATTCGAATTGGACTCTCTGCAGCAAGGTATTCATCACATGAATAAAATTACCCCTGACAATCCGCCACCATCCGCTGACGATCTGTTTGAAACCGATCCGTTTGGCGATTCGTTCGCGAACATGAAGGTAACGTCGACAATTAATTCCCACTATGCAGTATATAATATGTGAAATTTTTGAATATATACTTACAGTTGGAAGATACTGTACGACCAATTTTACCACCGCCACCCTCATCGTCTAAAAGGGGCCACCTAGAGCGACAGCAAACAGTTCCAGGGCCCCAGTCGTCGATCACGTCGAGCCCGGCGACCACTTTGACTAGCAAAACCCCTCCACTTCAAAGCAACATTCAGTGGTTCGACAAGGAAGCCGAAAATCTATTCAGTGACAGCGATCTCACCGGCTCGGCCAAGAATACGCCTGTGAAAAAGGAAACTGAAGAGGTTAGTCTTCAATGTTTACACGTAGATTAATTTATTAATAATAATAACGTTTATTCAAGGTTATTTCAATCAAGTGCCGATATCGAATCTTTGCTACAGAAAGATTGTATATAAATTTACAACGAGGCAACTAACTCTTCAATTTCAATAATAAAGGGCATATATCTTTTCAAAACAAAAATGATTCATGACATTTATGTAAAATTTTAATCGTCTAGACTGTTAATTAATTCCTATTCAACGTTTTGATTAATAAGCACTGTTACTTCATAACTTTCACAGAGCCAAGCCAAGAGCCCGCAAATCGACGTGTTCACGGAGCTGGACCCGCTCGGAACCGGTTTAATAAAACCGTACGTGGACAAGAAGGACTTCTTCCAGCATCTGAAGAACCCTCCGAAGAAAGTCCTGAAAGACCTGGTGTCCACCGGCTCGGCAGACACATTTCCAACGAACTTTAACGTCCTCTCGGAGCCTCTCGAGTCAGTGAAACCACGAAACGACGTAGCCCCCAAAGATAATCAGTTCGAGGACACGAACTTCGCGAACTTTGACCGATTCGACGAGAACGAGGCGATTCAGTCGGTGTTCACGCGCTCCGACTCGTCCAGAAGATCCACTCATCATCAACCTCTTTCCGTGTCCTTGCCCCCCGAAGATTCTTCTACCTCGAAATCCTCCGCGGGCGTTTCTCTGCTAAGCAGAATGGACAAGGACTCCACGGAATCTATGCACGGCCTTGTGAAACTTCCCAGTCCCGTAAAATCCACGCGCAAGAAGGAATTTGACATCGACGTAGCAACCGGCAGCAAAGTGTCGTCCATGGACAAACCGTTCCCGGTGGACTTCTCGGCGGCCAGTGATTCACCAGCGTCCCCGCTAAAATCTTGCCCCTCCGATGCTAATCCCAGGCTGTCCACTTCCTCCGCGGAACTGGAACTCGTACCTGAACCTCCTCCTCGGGGAGTCGCCAACATCCTGATCAATCCGCCGCCTCTGCCGCCGAAGAAGCAAGGGGTCAGGGGTGTTGCGAAGCCTCCTCCAAGGCCACCGCATACGTCCGATACCTACTTTCACTACGATTTCCCGGAAACAGAGCCCGTGGCGACGACGAAAGACAGAAGCATGAGTCCGTCAAGGGACGGCAGGAGTCAATCGGACGACAGTTTCAGTTCGCCTGTTCAACTGTCTGGCAAATCGGATCTGATAAGCGCGATGGCCACGTCGGCGTTCGAGGACTCGTTCAGCTCCATGATACCGAGCACGTTTTTCGCCAGTTCCACCAGCACGCCGATCGGACCGAAGAAGACGAAACCGTCGTTGGACATCACTCTTAGTCAGTTAACGTCCGCCAATTTGGACGAATTGGCCAACAGTCTAGGGATGACGGTGAAGGAGCTGACCAGTCTGACTCTTCAGCAGTTGACCGAGTGTTTGGCCACTCTTTCGGCCAAGGAAGCCGCCGCTAACGATAACGAAGAACCAGTCTCTATGAAGCAGGAGAAGGCCGGTGTCGCGCAAGCGCAATCGCAATCGCATGTGTCTAGCATGGTGCAATCGAGGGTCGCTTTCAATGAGCAACAGCCTTTCGCGAAGATGAACATCGAGCAGGAGATGAACGCGAAGCAGGACGCTACGTACGACAAGTACGCCGTTTTCAGAGAACTGTTGGAGCTGGAACAGATGGAGAAGAACGAAGAGAACGCCGCGAGAGAGTACATGGAGAACGATGAGACGTCTTCAGTGACGAAAGAGGAACTTGAAACTGCTGCCGGTCAGCAGCAGGAAACTAGCGAAGAGCCGAGATCGGAAACTTTGGCTACTCTGGTGAATCTGACGGTGAAACTGCCGCCTAGTAACGAAGATCTAACGAAGGAGGAGCAAACTGAAACCAAGTTCGAAGAAACCAAGGTCGAACCTCCTTCGAGTCTGACGTTTGAAAAGATGCAACCAACAGAACCGGAGAGTAAGATAGAACCGGCGGCAGAGGCGGAACCATTGACGGACAACTTTCAGCTGACGAAACATGGCGAGGAAGACTCGGAGAAGACGAAAGCTGCAGTCGACGCCGAGGAGAAGACAGCAGAGGAACTCGAGGCGGCTGCCGAGAAACTCAGCGAGGTCAACGACGACTATGACAAGCCAGAAGCCAAGGAGACGAGCACAGAAGAGGCCAATGGGTCCAATTTGATCGAAGTGAACAAAGTGGAAGTGAAGTCTTCCGTGTCCACGTCTAGCGACAAATACGCGGCGCTG